AGCAACCTCAAACTGCTGGGCTCAAGCGATCCTCCTGCCTCAGCCTCCCAAGTAGCTGGGACAACAGGCACATGCCACCACGCCTGGCTAATTTTTTCTATTTTCAATAGAGACAGGGTCTCTCTCTCGCTCTTGCTCTTGGTCTCGAACTTCTGACCTCAAGTGATCCTCCCACTTTGGCCTCCCAGAGTGCTAGGATTACAGGCGTGAGCCACCGCACCTGCCCCCCTACACCTTCTTGTCTCCAATCTCTCCTAAACTTGCTCCAGTCAAGCCTTAGGTCCCACCACGCCACTGCAAAGATGAGTTCTCAAGCCACTGACAAGCATCTCACCACCCAGACTAAATCATCCAATTCTCAGTTCTCCAGTCTCCTCCAACTGGACCTACTGGAGGTAGCATTTGCCACCTCCTTCCTGAAATATTTTCTTCTCCAGTCTTCTCTAGGCTTTTCTCCTTTGTCCTTGGCCCCTCCTCCTCTACTTCCTTTGCCGGCTCCTGCTTTTTCAGCCAGGCCTCTGTGTGTTGCAGGGTGTTGGAGCTCTCAGACCTTTCATCTACACACTCCGGTTGGTCATCTCATGCAGTCTGACAGTTTTAATACCACTCGTGTCCTAACAATTTCCTTCTGTTTATTTCCGACTCTGACCCTGCTTCTGAACACCAACTCTTATCTAGCTACCTACTAGATACCTGCACTTGGATGACTAATAAGATCCAAATATGTCAAACACAAAACTCAAGGTTTTTCTCCCCAAAGTTTTTCTTCCCCACCTTCCCCATCTTAGTTAATAGCACCAACCACCATCCAAGCCGTTATTCAGCCCAAAAATCTAGGAGCCATCCTCTCCACCCTCACCCACCACACACAGCACCAAGTCCTGATGGCCGTAATCCCAAAACACTTCTCACCCTCTCCACCCTCATCCAAGCCCCTGCCTCTCTTGACGGCAACAATCTTCTCACTGATGTCCTTGCAATCGCTCTTGCTTCCCTATAAACCATTCTCCACACAGCCTCCAGACTGAATTTTTTTAAAGCACAAATCTAATAGCATTAATGCATTAAAATTCTGTAATGACTTCCCATTGGAATTTCAATAAAGCCAAATTCCTTACCATGACCGGAAAACCCTTTATGATGGGGCA